AATATATGCAATTTGCCCATTGGTAAAATAATCAGGTCTTCTTTTACGCCGTAGATTTAAATTTTTTAAAAACAAAGAAATTACATGGGATATTCGAAAAACATTCTAAGAACCGATATTGTTCATTTGCAAGAAATAATTGTGCAAAACATTTTATAGACTGTATTTTTCAATTGTATTGTTCTGAGTTCAATTACTTATTCATATTTGTGGTAAATAATATTGGCACATGTATTATATTATTATATACACACACTACAAAACGTTAGACACTTGATATTACCTATTATAGTATTATACCATTCAATGAACCTTCTAATACAAGGGTTTTAGTAAATAATATAAAAAACGTGACTTATAAAATATTGTTTTAAATTAAAAAAGAAAACGGAAATGTCGGCTCGCACTGCATATACCCTGCATCAGGGTATTGGAGTTTGATTTTGATCAGATTCGCAATTTGTATTTTTTAAGTGAATATGTAATTAATAAATATATTAAAATACAATATTTGAACATTTTTTTTCTAAAACGGATTATCAAAACCTGACAACAAACAATTCAAATACAAATTTCTTTGAATTTCATTTGTAGTTGGTTGTAGGAAATTTCTATTCGACAAATTGCGATTTTTTGTTACATACGAGGGATATATATATATCGCATATGATGACCCTTGCAAAATTAGTCTTTAGTCTTTGGTAAGCCTTGAAAAATTAGTCTTTAAAAAATCCACGCCTTTGGTAAGCCTTGAAAAATTAGTCTTTAAAAAATCCACGCCTTTGGTAAGCCTTGAAAAATTAGTCTTTAAAAAATCCACGCCTTTGGTAAGCCTTGAAAAATTAGTCTTTAAAAAATCCACGCCTTTGGTAAGCCTTGAAAAATTAGTCTTTAAAAAATCCACGCCTTTGGTAAGCCTTGAAAAATTAGTCTTTAAAAAATCCACGCCTTTGGTAAGCCTTGAAAAATTAGTCTTTAAAAAATCCACGCCTTTGGTAAGCCTTGAAAAATTAATCTTTAAAAAATCCACGCCTAGAGGTAGCCTTGAAAAATTAGTCTTTAAAAAATCCACGCCTTTGGTAAGCCTTGAAAAATTAGTCTTTAAAAAATCCACGCCTTTGGTAAGCCTTGAAAAATTAGTCTTTAAAAAATCCACGCCTTTGGTAAGCCTTGAAAAATTAGTCTTTAAAAAATCCACGCCTTTTAGTAAGCCTTTTGTAAGCCTTGAAAAATTAGTCTTTAAAAAATCCACGCCTTTGGTAAGCCTTGAAAAATTAGTCTTTAAAAAATCCACGCCTTTGGTAAGCCTTGAAAAATTAGTCTTTAAAAAATCCACACCTTTGGTAAGCCTTGAAAAATTAGTCTTTAAAAAATCCACGCCTTTGGTAAGCCTTGAAAAATTAGTCTTTAAAAAATCCACGCCTTTGGTAAGCCTTGAAAAATTAGTCTTGAAAAAGTCCACGCCTTTGGTAAGCCTTGAAAAATTAGTCCTTAAAAAATCCCCTAGATTTTTTCTTTTTTGCGTAGGGGATGATAGATACCAATCAACGGCTCTGGTTGGCTTTAACATGGCGAAGTCCAGGCTTATCTTGGTCCCTCTTTCATCTGAATTGTGGACACTGACCTCCCCGCGGTGCCACCTGGGGAGCTATTCTCATCACCCGATGAAATACTGAGCTAATATGTGCCACGAGTTCACCCATAAGTGGGTTTTCCCACTCTCGGAAAACCCAACCTTCTATGAAAAAAAACCAACCCCCTAATGTTGACGACCCCCGCAAAGGTATAAAGGACCACGATTTGCGAATCTGCACTTGGAATATGCGCACGTTGTACAGAACAAGCGCAGTGTTCGCTTTGGCGGATGTACTCAAGAAGTACAAAGCCGATATTATTACCTTACAGGAAATGCGATGGAAAGGGACAGGCGTAGGTAAATCAGACGATTACGCCCTGTATTATAGCTGCCATGAAACGAGACATGAATTTGGCTGTGGATTTATGGTCAACAGGAGAATAAAAGACCTCGTCTCCAGATTTACTCCAGTAGATGAGCGATTTGCTATAATCCTAATAAAAGCGAAGTTCTTCTACATCAGTCTCATTTGCGCCCATGCTCCGATCGAAGATAAAGATTAACAGACCAAACACATATATTACGAGCGCCAAGAAACATCATATGACCGTTGCCCTGGCCATGACATTAACATTCTGCTAGGAGATCTTAATGCAAAAATCGGAAGGGAAAATATCTTTGGTCCCACCGTCGGAAAATTCAGCCTTCATGAAGAAACATACGACAACGGCATGAGGTTGATTGCCTTCGCGGCAGCAAAAAACATGGTAGTTAGCTGCAGCAGATTCAAGCATATCGATGTACACAAGGCCACCTAGATCTCTCCTGATCAAGCAACGAGAAATCAAATTGATCAAGTTGTGATAGACGGAAGGCATTCATCCAGTGTTTTAGACGTCCGATCGACCCGAGGAGCGAATATCGATTCGGACCATTACCTTGTGGCAGCCAAGGTATGCACCCATCTTAATGTGGCAGCAAAGGTGCGATCTAACATAACACGGAAACTCGACGTCGAAAAGCTGCAAACACAACAGGTAGCCGAGGCCTACTCCGCTCAACTTACCCATCTGCTTGAAGAAAGCACTTCTTGTCCCGATAATAGTATAGAAGCACAATGACAATGAATTGCACACTCCCTACAAAGTGCAGCAAAAGCAACACTTGGGTACCAAAGATCACCATCAAGAAATCTGTGGTACTATCAGGAGTGTCGTAATGATACTGATGTGAAAAACAAAGCGTATAGGGCAACCCTGCAGACAGTAGCAACACGTTATGCTTTGGAGAATTTTTGGGAGAAAAGGAGAGAGGAAAAACGTGTTTTCAGAAAAAAGAAGAAAGAAAAAGAAAAACGTGAGCGTGAGCAAATCGAGATGTACAGGAGTCAGAATGAAGTCCGGAAATTTTACCAACGAGTAAAACACCAAACTGAAGGCTTTGGTGCAGGCACATCCTCCTGTAGAGATGAAGAAGGAAACCTGGTGACAGATACATACAGAGTGTTGAGGATCTGGAAGGAGCATTTTGAAAAGCTCCTGGTATCAAATAGTGGCGTTGAAGAAGATAACCCAGAACCAATAAGAGATGATGGCATGGAGTGTATACCACCTAGCCAAGATGAGGTCATAACAGCAATTAATCGGCTCAAGAACAACAAAGCAGCAGGCCGAACTATTCAAAACTGGTGGCCAGATGCTGGTCAGGAGCATGCACCAGCTGATTAGTACAATTTGGCTAGATGAATACATGCCCAATGATTGGAACCTCCGCATCCTGTGTCCCGTGCACAAAAAAGGAGACAAGACGATATGTGCCAACTATAGAGGAATAAGTCTCCTTCCCATCGCATATAAAGTGCTATCCAGTGTGCTGTGTGAACGATTGAAGCCAATGGTCAATGACATCATTGGACCATACCAATGCGGCTTCAGACCTGGCAAATCCACCATTGACCAGATTTTCACTTTCACGCCAAATCCTGGAAAAGACCCACGAAAAACACATCGGCACATACCACCTATTTGTCGACTATAAAGCCGCATTCGACAGCCATATCCGTTCAGAGGTGTTTAAAGCCATGCCTGCCATCGGCATTCCGGCGAAATTAGTACGGCTATATAATAACTTTAAATGGCACAAGGTCAGCAGTTAAAGTAGGAAAGGACCTATCGGAGCCCTTCAATACCGAACGAGGATTCAGACAAGGTGACAGCTTGTCGTGTGATCTTTTTAACATCCTGCTGGAAAAGGTCATACGAGACGCTAAGGTGAACAGAAATGACACTCAGTACACCAAACAACACATGTTACTCGCCTACGCCGATGACATCGATATAATGGGTCGAACATTGTGAGCAGTAACAGCCACCTTTGAACAAATTGAAAAGGAGTCTGCCAAAGTGTGTCTGGCAGTAAACGACGAGAAGACCAAGCTGATGGTATCAACGCGCAAGACGTCCAGTAGACTCGGACCAACTGTGGAACTTGAGAACTACAGCTTCGAGGTAGTTAAAGACTTCACATACCTTCGTAACGCCATAAATTAAACGAATGTCATCAGTTTTGAAATTCGGAGAAGGATTGTGATGGCCAACAGATGCTACTATGTTGTAAGTAAGCAATTTAGACACAAGGCCACTTCCTGCCAGACCAAACTCACACTTTACAAGACGCTGATGCTACCCGTGCTATTATATGGATCTGAAGCATGGGTACTTGCGCAAGCTGATGAGGCAGCTCTTGGGGTGTTTGAAAGAAAAATTCTCCGAAAGATCTACGGCCGATCTGTGTCGACGGTGAGTATCGGTGTCGAATCAACAACGAGCTTTACAATTTATACGCGGACATCGACATAGTCAGTCGTATTGAGCTGCAGCGACTACGGTGGCTAGGCCATGTTGTGCGGATTAATGAGAATGCCCCAGCTCAAAAGGCATATAAAAACGACCCTACTGATGGTTCCCGTAGAAGGGGAAGGCCACGAATTAGATGGAAAGACCAAGTAGAAAATAACTTCTTGGAAAGTGGTCTTCCAAATTGGTGGATTTGCGCACAAGACCGACGAGCTTGGAAATCTTTTTTAAGCTCGGCTTATGGAACAACCGTTCTGTAACAAGCCAGCTAAGTAAGTAAGATTTTTTTAATACAGAATTCATTATTTTTTATGTTTTTTAATTTTTTTATTTAATGTAATAAGTGAATAAATCATATAAAACTAATTTTCTTAAAAACTATAACCTGTTTCTATAAATACATATAATGTATAACAAAACCATTATGTCCAGGTTCAAAGATATATATTAGATGATAATGGAATATACGACGAACCATAATTTGAAAAAAAAATTATCGAAAAACTTAAACATAAATATATAAATACTAACAATAACATGTGTTGTGATGGTGTGTGTGTGCTCCCATCTCATTTGTCCTTCTTGTTAACAATGATAGCAGCATCAATTTCATCTTTACTCTGATCCTTATCACCCCAACCCCATATGGGATGGCTGCCATCGCCGGTACGTTGAACACGTTTCTTAATAATTTCATCGGAAACTGTTTTCAGATCATAGGCCCAACCGATTTTGGCAAAGAAATCCAAAAAGGCGGTGGTATAATTGAAGGCATAATCACCCAATTCAGAGGTCTTGTAATCCCAGGGGAAGACGTGATGATAGTTGTGCCAACCTTCACCCAAGGTCAAAAAGGCAATGAAGCTATTTTCAGCGGGATTGTAGGATCTATAAAATAAGGGAAAGGGATGGTTAAAATAAATATTTCTCTCTCTGAGGATGGATGGGGTCCAACTTACTTGTCATAGGGTCTGCTGCCATATTTGTGGCCAGCACTGTTAATCAACCAGGCAGAGTTGAGTAGGAAACACCAACGTAGCATAACACAGATGTGCCAGGAGTTGGAGAAGGTCTCATTGAAGAAATACATTGGGGCAATGGCTGGCAAGATGAAGCAGGCAATGGGCATCAGGAAATAATAGTATCTACAAAATAGAAAAAAGAAAATTGGTCAAAAAAAAAAATTAGCCAAATAAAAAATTTCAAAATATATCCCAGAAACTATTTTGAAATTCTTTTTGTGTTTTTTATATTTCGAAAAAAGTTGTACTCACTTATGTTGGAACATAACAATGGGATCAGCTTCCAAATCGGACATATCAATGGTCTTGCCCTTGGCCTTAACTTCGGGATGTTTTTTGCACATCAACCAACCAATGTGCGAGAAGAACATACCACGTGTGGCATTATGAGGATCAGCATCGGTCTCAGAGAACTTATGATGTACACGATGATCACGGGCCCAGACATATACGGAATTTTGGAAAGCGATGGTATTGAAAATAATCAACATAATACGCATAGGCAAATTGGCTTTATAGGCACGATGGGCCCACAAACGATGGGCAGCAGCAGTTATACCAAAGCCAGTAATGTAAGTAAGGAGAGTACCTGCGGGAAAAGAAAGAGAGGTTAATACCCTTGAAAAAATATTCTTCAAAAGACCCTACGCTTTGAACCCTGAAAAATATTGTTTAAAAGACCCTAGACTTTTATGGCCCTTGAAAAAATATTCTTTAAAAATTCTAGGCTTTTATGGCAATTGAAAAAAAAAATATTCTTTAAAAGACCCTAGACATTTATGACCCCTGAAAAATATTTTTTAAAAAACCATAGAATTGTATGGCCCCTGAAAAAATATTCTTAAAAAGACCCTAGACTTTTATGACCCCTGAAAAAATATTCTTTAAAAAAAATCCAAGCCTTTGGTAAGCCTTGAAAAAATATTCTTTAAAAAATCTTGGACTTGTATGACCCTTGAAAAAATATTCTTTAAAAATTTTAGACTTGTATGACCTTTGAAAAAATATTCTTAAAAAAATCTTAGCCTTGTATGACCCTTGAAAAAATATTCTTTAAAATCCACTCCATTGGTAAGCCTTGAAAAAATATTCTTTAAAAAATACACGCCTTTTTCTTTAAAAAAAACCCACGCCTTTGGTAACCCTTTAAAAAATATTCTTTGGAAAATCCACGCCTTTGGTAACCCTTGAAAAAATATTCTTTGGAAAATCTACGCCTTTGGTAACCCTTGAAAAAATATTCTTTAAATAATCCAACGCCCTTGGTAAGCCTTGAAAAATATTATTTAAAAAATGTACGCCTTTGGTAACACTGAAAAAAAATCTTAAATAGCCTTTGAGCAAAAATTTTTGTATTTTTTTTAATAATTTAAAATATATGTAATTTTTTTTCTACATACCCAAAACATTTGTCTGCCACTTGGCTGAGGTACACATCAAATACACGCCATAAAACGATGCTGCATACACATAAACAAAACCAATAACATTTATCCATACAATTTCCAATTTTCGCTCATCGGCCTTTTTAAAGGTTTCAATATTTTTCGCCAAACCTCCGTCAACGGTTTCAGCCTCCTGCTCGGACAGGACACCGGTGGCGGTATTTTCAAAAACCTTGGCGATAGGTTCATTTTCGGTAACGGTGGTGGTGGCGTTTGGTGGCATATTGCTAAAAAGGTAATAAACAAAATAATTTATAATTAATTCAAATAAATAATTTTTATATTTATAAAAAATATTTGAAAAAAATATATTTTTTTTAAATATTAGTGTGGTGCTTTTTAATTTCCTTCTTTATCTTATTCTGATTTAATGTTATGTTATTTAAAGCAAGCAAAGCTCTTGTTTACAAGCAATTGCTTCAACAATTTCTGTAGCATACTTTTAGGCGTATTGCAATAAAGTGCATGTGGAGACTTTTCGCATTTCAAAGGTAATATTTCAGAATGCTTGTTAATGGAAATGAACTGAAAAAATGTGTATTAAAAAATCCAAACTAACAGCAGATATACTTCTTGAAAAAATATATTAAAAAAATCAATGTAGTAGCTGATAAACGAGTTAAAAAATGTATTTAAAAAATCCACGCGTATAGAGACTTATATTTAAACAAATTATTTTTAAATTTAAATTTATTCTAAAAAAAAAAACAATTTACAGTAAATATATCTGGTCAAAAATATTTTTAAAAATGGAGGCATATATTGAAGATAGCTATTTTTAAATAAAAAATCAAGCGAATAACCACCTCCACTATGAGGTGGTCATTCAAAGTACCTAAAATCGATAGAGATTTATATACTGGGGGTTAGGTCATGATAAATTCAGCCTGAAGAAAACGAAATACCAAAACTACAGGCACTCAGGTTGGAAAATTTACTCACGACCCAATGACATATGGGACCCTTTGTATGGTAGCTTTGTACCTTAAAAATGTTCCAAGGATCGTTGGAATTTATCATGACCTCCAGTATTTAAAATCTATCGATTTTAGGTACTTTGAATGACCACCTAGTGGAGGGTAGATTCACATCTAGGATCTATTCCGAAATTTAGGACAATATTCATAGAGTGAATATTCAAACTCCACACAATATGAAAATGTGCAAGGTACCCTAACCTAATAAGTGAGCCATTACTGATCATTTATGCTACCCAGAAAAAAGAAGAAAGATCAAGAAAGACGTGAGCGTGAGGGGCAAATCGAGATATGCAGGAGTCAGAATGAAGTCCGGAAATTTTACCAACAAGTAAAAGACCAAAAAAGACGAAAGCTTTGGTACAGGCACATCTCCCTGTAGAGATGAAGATGGTATTAGATACAGATGGCGTAGTGAGGATCTGGAAGGGGCATTTTACAAAGCTTCTCGTATCAAACAGTGGCGGTGAAGAAAATACCCCAGAACCAATGAAAGATGACCGTATAGAGTGTATACCACCTAGCCAAGATGAGGTCGCAATCAATCCGCTCAAGAATAATAAATAATAAAGCAGCGGAGGAACTATTCAAGACCGGTGGTCAAATGCTGGTCAGGAGCATGCACCAGCTGATCAGTACAAATTGGCTAGTGGAATGCATGCCCAATGATTGGAACCTCAGCATCATGTGTCCCGTGCACAAAAACAGAGGCAAGACGATATGTGTCAATTATAGAGGAATAAGTATCCTTCCCATTGCATGTAAAGTGCTACCCAGCGTGCTGTGTGAACGACTGAAGCCAATTGTCAATGCCACTATTTGACCATACCAATACGGCTTCAGACCTTAAAAATTGACCATAGATCAGATTTTCACACTGCGCCAAATACTGGAAAATACCCACGAAAAACACATCGATACATTTCACATATTAGTTCGACAGCCCTATACGTTCAGATGTGTTTAAAGCCATTTCTGCGCTTGACATTCCTGCAAAATTAATAAGGCTATGCAGGATAACTCTAACTGGTACAAGATCGGCAGTTAAAGTCGGAAAGGACCTCTCGGAGCCCTTTAATACCGAATGAGGATTCAGACAAGCTGACAGTTTATCGTGTGATCTTTTTAACATCCTGTTGGAAAAGATTCAAATGTGAACACAAATGGAACTCTGCACACCAAACAACACATGTTACGCGCTTACGCCGATGACATCGACATTAGGGGCCGAACATAGCAGGCGGTAACAGCCACCTCTGAACAAAGTGATAAGGAGTTTGCCAAAATGGATCTGGCAGTAAATGTCGAGAAGACCAAGTTGATGAAATCAACGCGCAAGACGTCAAGTAGACTCGAACCAACTGTGAAACTTGAAAACGACAGCTTCGAGATAGTCAAAGATTTTATATTCCTCGGTATCGCCATAATTAAAACTATTGACATCAGATTTGAAAATCGGAGAAGAATAGTGTTGGCCAAAGGCCAAGGCCACCACTGACAGACCAAACTCACACTTTACAAGACGCTGATATTACCCGTGCTGTTATATGGATCTGAAGCATGGGTACTTGCGCAAGCAGATGAGGCAGATCTTGGAGTGTTTGAGAGAAAAATTTTCCGAAAGATCTATCGACCGATATGCGTCGACGGTGAATATTGCCGTCGAATGAACCATGAGCTGTACCATTTATTCTTGGACATCGACATAGTCAGACGTATCGAGCTGCAGCGACTTCGATCCCTAGGCCATATTGTGCGAATGGATGAGGATGCCCCAGCCTGAAAGGTATATAAAAGCGAGCCATCTGATGCTTCACGCAGAAGGGGAAGGCCGCAAATTCGATGGAAAGATCAAGTGTAGTATGTCATATCAGAACATGGTATTTCAAATTGAAAAAAACTACGCACACGATCGACGCGCATGGAAATTTTTTGTTATGCTCGGCTTATGAAACAAATGTTCTGTCTCGAGCCAACTAAGAAGAAGAGGAATATTTGCTACCTATTGATAATCGAAAATATTAAATTGTAGCCAATTGGGTTGAAAAAAGTGCCCAAACTCCCCATTACACCAAATGTTGGAGTGGTAAGAACCAGAAATACAAAAATTCAGCCAATTCGATTGAAAAGTTTCCAAAATTGGAAAAACTGCGCACAAGATTGACACGCATGGAATTTTTTTTTTTAAGTTCGGCTTATGGAACAAAAACTGAAAAATAAAAAAATGGGGTCTATTCTAAACCAAGGACGAATATTGATAATTTTTTGTAGGAGTATTTTTCTTTTTTGCAATTTTTTTTTTTTTTTTTTGGACTACGAGAACCAAAAATACAATTCGACAATTCGATTGAAAGCAGCTCCCAAAATCCCGAAACTTCGTTTCATATTGATAATTTTCAGTAGGAATATTAAAAAACATACCCAAAGCTCTTTTATTATCATCTTCGCGATTTCAATAGACAGAGATAAGTCAGGCAAACGGAAATTGCCAAGTCAATTTAGAATTTTATTGTGATCATGAGGTATTCGACAAATGTTTCGAGGTGTACACAGTCCATATTATGTTCGAGAGCATAAAAATCCAACCCTTATAGCTCTAATAGATCTTAAAAATGTCTTCGAGTAGCTCAGATAACTGTCGAACCATGATTAATAACTATACAAGGTAGTTTCATTTGAGAAATTGATAATGGCAACCCTTCTTAATATGGAATTTATATATCAATTTCAAATTAAATGAAAAATAAATTCCATAAAATGTTACGCATGGCGATTAGCAAATTTTCAACAAATTAAAAAATATATATTTTAAAGCTCCACACTGTTCTCAATATTTAACTAAGAATGTTGGAATTTGTATTTCTAGGTTTTATAGGCAGGGAACTTAAAAATATTAATTCAAAAATTTTTGCCACTGGACACAAGCTTTGCGTACATTTCGAAGGTAGATATTTTCGTTTAAATTTTGAAAGCTAAATGTTGTCACAAGCAAATGTATGAAAAAAATTGGAAACATATGACAGCATGAGACTACCTTGTATAGTTACGCTATGCTCTCGAACAAAATCAATCGACACTTACAACTGAAGTGTTCTTAAATAACATTTTAAAATATTCGATCGCATAACTGTTGAAAAAAAATTTTATAGAATCGATGATTTTAAGTCTTTAAAATAAATTTTTAAAAATCCGCTCGTATAGTTTAGATAATTGTTGAACAAATATCTTTTAACAAATCCACGCTTATAATTTAAATAGGTTTTGAAAAAAATTACAAGTTTATTTTTTTTAATCAACACTTTAAAAAGTTTTTGTTATTGATGTTTAGTTCCTCCCCTTCTCTCTGTTCTTCATGATTCAAATTTCCTTTGCATTGACATTAATTTTTATACACATTCATTTCCTGACGTCACTATTTTTCAAAGGTGATATTTACTATTATGCTGAGTGATGCACTTTAAAAAAATAGTAATAAAAACAAATATTGTTTATTTTCTTAAAATGTGCTAGGCACATTAAAATATTTACTAAGCACTTTTTGGTTGACAATTTCTACAACTTCGCAAAAACAACAACTAAACAATAATCACTACAGCAAAAAAACTATTCACTTAAAATGCAAACTCACTTTTCGCGACCCATTTTATTCTTGAAACGTCTGGGCACAACAAAGATCAGGTGTCAACTAATCACAGTGTAATGAATGATGCGTCATATCATAGGTGTTCTCTATACATGGTGGTAGTGGCCCTACTCCACAACAATGTAATGGAATTTCTCCTTGAAACAACCTTTAATAATATTAACGCTTCATGTGAGATTAAGTTGACCAAAATTATGATTTTGGTTGGGAGTGGACGTTATGGTCCGATGGACACATCTTTCACAATGACCTAATTGACAATTGTCAAAATACTCATTAAGTGAAGAACTACGACTAGGGGTAGGTCCGAATTAATAAAACTTTAATGAATAATTAATTAAACAAATTTCAAATTTGCAACGAAGCGGACCAAATTATTAACCAAAAAAAGCGGATTTTCAAAATATCTTCCCAAGGGCCTACACTAGGCATGTATTTTTTAAAGAATATTTTTTCAAGGCCCATCCTTACAAGGCGTGGATTTTTTTAAAGAATATTTTTTCAAGGGCCATCCATACAAGGCGTGGATTTTTTAAGAAATATTTTTCTCAAGGGCCATCCATACAAGGCGTGGATTTTTTAAAGAATATTTTTTCAAGGGCCATCCATACAAGGCGTGGATTTTATTAAAGAATATTTTTTCAAGGGCCATCCATACAAGGCGTAGATTTTTTAAATAATATTTTTTTCAAGGTCCATCCATACAAGGCGTGGATTTTTTTAAAGAATATTTTTCCAAGGGCCATCCATACAAGGCGTGGTTTTTTTAAGGATATTTTTTCAAGGCCCATCCATACAAGGCGTGGATTTTTTAAAGAATATTTTTTCAAGGGCCATCCATACAAGGCGTGGATTTTTTTAAGGAATATTTTTTCATGGGCCATCCATAAAAGGCGTGGATTTAAAAAAAATCAAGGACAATAACAAGTCGAGGATTTTTAAAAAATATTTGTTAAATTAAAAAAACATATTCAATTATCGATTTACTTTGGTGTGCCGTAAACCAAAACTTTACTTTCCTAAACTAATATTTAACAAAAGCAAATTAAATTTTCATAATATTATTATGAATATATCGATTTTGAAATCGATTCGATTTTGTAGCAGGTCATTGTCCGATAATGGCCTTTAGGAAAATTTTGCCGAACATAATTTGCAAACCATGAGGTTTGTATAACATAACTTTTGTTTTTTATTATTTATTTAGGTTTCGTTTTTTATTTTGTTATGACTGTAACCTATTGGTTTCAAAATAGGCCAAAGTCCGATTATTTCCTTCGGAAATAACCCCCAACAATTTATTTGACAAATAGATGAATATTTTTTTCAAATATTTCGGAATTTTGGAATAAAATAAATTGCATAATTCACATAACACGGTTGTTGTTGTTGTTAATATTGTTATGCTTTATGCTTCCCGGCATTGGCTATGGACCAAACCCTCAAAAAAATAAATAAATAAAGAGGTCACATAGTCAAACAAGATTTAGCATTGCCTCATACAATAACGGATTGGTGGTGAGGAAGGGGACGACGACGATATGTTGACATTGAATAATAAATAAAAGAGAAAAGGTTTTTTTGTCTGCGGCACCACAGACATACACCTACCTAATGATCATCAGCAACACCATTACCTCCACTTCGAATCTCAACAGCTTCTTACAAACTATACTTAAATATTTATGTACATCTACATAATCAATAGCGGGGTTTTGTGAAATGTTTTTTTTTCGAAGTTTAAACAAACATCTTCAAACATTTAAATATGACTGTCTTCAAACATTTAAATATGTATGTGTGTTTTTGTATGTTTGTCTTGCGGATATGCTAGTAGTCGTCTAGCATCGACTCACCCTCCATAGTCTCATAACATTTTGCATTAATTTTGAAGATCAATGAATGGACTGACCACATCAGATAGCCTTTTGTGAAATACAAAAATACCATTCATTAAAATTAAATATTTTTTTTTCAAATTTTGACAATACAAAAATCGAATTTCATTATCTAATTTGAATAAATGTTGAGTATTATGTGAAAGGGGTGAGGAGGGATTGCGATGCCCTTAGGTCATGAAATACTTATGGCGGTTGAATGGAGTTTATTATGTGTTTGATATTGGGTAATTAATTGGTTCAGATTTGTATGACCTATATAGTGAATATATAGGTTAGATTTATGATGAATAATCTTCATTTGGGATTTAAAATTTCCTACGCAGGATAAACACAAAGTCAACTTTTTTATCTGAATAGCCAGTAATAAAAATGTCATCCAAATGATGACAGTGATAAAAATGTCATCCCGGAAATTCAACGTTCAAATTTCTCTTTTGGGATTTGGCGCCCAACAGCAACGAACCATAACAGACATCAATATACAGAAATGTAAGTTAAAGTACGATGCATTTTGTTCATAAAGGCATGAAAGAATACAAATTAATCTCTCTTTTTAAATTCTGAGACAAAATTTTACAGTGGCTTGTAATAGGATAGGTGTACGATGACCTGATTAAGGGCCAACGGATAATAGTATCTCACGTAATGTTGTAGATGAGTATCAGTCAAAACAGTCGTCGACATATATCAGAAGTATATTTCTGGATGGACATTATTCGCCTGGGATTTAAGATTTCCACCTTAAGATAACAACTAAATCGGCTTGCAAATCTCTTTACCTTGTAATCCCAGTAATACGAAAATTCAACGTTGAGCCTTTAACTTTAATATTGGAAGTTTGGAACTTCAAAATTAAAGTTGAAGGCTTATCGTTGGATTTTCGTACCTATATGGACCTTGGTGCACCGAAAGGTTACCTTTTGTTCTAATGCATGGTAAACATACATAGTAAATATGCGATTGTCTCCATCCTTTTTTGAACTTCTGTGATCAAATCTAGCAATGTCCAGAAATTTTGCCAACGAGTAAAACACCAAACCGAATGCTTTCCTCCTTATATATGACATTTCCTCCCTTATATATGAAGATCTGATGACAGATACTGATAGCATGCTGAGGATCTGGAAGGAACATTTTGCAAAACTTCTGGTATCAAATAGTAAAGGTTAAGAAGGTACCCCAAAACCAATGACGGCATAGATTGTATACCACCTCGCCAAAATGAGGTCAGAATAGCAATTAATCGGCTGAAGAATAATAAAGCAGCTGGTGAATAGTATGAGCTTGATCCGCCTCTCGCCAGATCAAGCTCACACTCTTCAAGATGCTGCATGGGTACTTGCGCAAGCAGATGAGCCAGTTCTTGAGAGAAAAAATCTATGGACCTATCGAGTCGACAGTGTATATCGCCGTTGAATAAACCATGAGTTGTACCATCTATTCTCGGACATCGACATAGTCAGACGTATCGAACTGCAACGATTACGTTGACTGGGTCATGTATTGAGAGGATGCCACTGCTCATATGCCAAATCAGTGAGCCCACAGATGGTTTACGTAGAAGGGAAGGTCACGAATTCAATGAAAATATTAAGTGGAAGACAAATTGGAAGAGCTGCACACAAGACCGACGCGCCTGGAGATCTTTTGTAAGCTCGGCTTATGGAACAAAATATACTGTCTGCTTATCCGTCTGTTGAAATTACGATACATTGCTACTTCTACTCCTAGGATGATTGATAATGAAAATGGGATATATCGGTCCATTATATGTATATGCCATATACATATAATGTACCCCAATATTCATTATTTTAGGAATTTTTGTCACGTTTTTCAACCGAATTAATTGTCGTTTAAATTGGATATAATTCAAATTGGATTAAAATTGGATATAATTAGACATATAGGTTTTTATTGGGCGCCACATATTTTTAATGACGGTTTACGTTTCGGTATAGCCATTTTTAAGGTATTCCCAACTTGAGTATCTATTTTCTCCTGGTAGCAATATACCATGACATAATACCCTTTTAAATGTCCCCATCGATTTTCGCCACTTTAAATGTTCAACTCATGGGGGAGATCGATTTTAGGTACTTTACATGTCCAGCTCATGGTGGAGATCGATTTTAGGTACTTTACATATCCAGCTCATGGTGGAGGCTATAAAAAGTTCAATCCTGACGAACATAACGACAATTTTATTTTGTTATAAAATATTTTTAAAAACATTTTATTGTTTTCAATTCACTTCAAACATTTGCATTGGATTCGCAGCTCTATATCTCAGTTCCACATTAAGTAAAAAATAATAATCCATTGTGTTTTGACAAAAATAATAAAAAGTCTTTGTTTATTTTTTCATTTTTTTTCAAAATTTAAAAAAATGTCCATGATGTGGGTATTTCTTTCATTTCAGTATTTACACTTGATATTGAGTCTTTGATTTTAGCCCTGAAGGCACTCTTGACTTATTAACACACACACTAACACTTTCACATCTATTAATTGTATTGTGGTCTTTATGTTTTTTTTCTTTCTTTTTTCGATTTATTTGTTAACTTACAATTTGTTTTATAAAAATAATTATATTCAGCTGTTAATTTCTGTGTTTGGGATTTTGAGTTTTTACAGCGACTGAACGCACTGACTGAACTTGTGCTGTCGACTTATTTCAATCGACTGATAAATGTTTACCGTTGTAGCATCCAACTAATATGGCTTTTTTTCGGTCGATTTGGTCGGCTAGGTGAAGATTTTGAAAATTCGGTGTCGTCGACGTCGTTGCATTAACATAATTGACCGATGATGATGATGATCATCATCAAGATGAAGATGACGAGATGCTGCTGCTGAAAACTATTGCTGTTTTTTGTGGTTGATTTTGGTGGTCGAGGCAATGTTGTTGTTGTATTTATTATTAATTAAATATTCCCCATACTAACACCTAGAGAAATAAAAACCAAATGGATTTCTTCTTTTTTCCCTTACCATTTTGTATATGTGTGAGTGCATTTAATATTATGTGAACATGACCACCCCAATAGTTTGTCAAACTCAGGTTGAATACAAAAGATTTTTGTTCTGCAAGTTTT